GGCTGAAAAAACGACTAAGTCCCATCGCGAATGGGACTTAGTCTCTGCAGCTGAAATAAGGCTGGAAAAAACGGCTGAAAAAAAGACTAAGTCCCATCGCCGAATGGGACTTAGTCTCTGCAGCTGAAATAATTTCCCATTTACTGAACCAAGTGGGAAATAGCAAGGCAGGCACAAAGGGTTTGCACCAGGTCTGGGGACACAGGGGACACCGTCTTAAAGGGGCCGTGTCCCCAACAAGTCTGGGGACACGGCCTTAAAGGGGCAGTGTCCCAATCTTCCTGATGTCCCAAAAAAGGTGTTTAAAGGGCCAGCACCAGTCACATAAAGAGTCCATAAGCCCCAATATGCCCACCGACAGTCTTAAAGGGCCATACACACCAAATAAAAGTGCATACATTTTCACAATCTCCCAGGGGCCATAGTCATGCGGGAGGAGGCTGGCAAATAGGCTTCTCCACAACCCAGGGAAGCAGGGCAATTTGCCATTTAAAGGGCCCGTTACAAATAGCAGTTTGTAACAAGGTGTCAATCCATATCTGCCAAGTGACCCGATGTAGGGGGACCAGTCCCTATTCTGCTCTGTGTCAGTGTGTATCAGGGAACCTTAGGACAGGTGTCAATCCATATCTGCCAAGTGACCCGATGTAGGGGGAACAGTCCCTATTCTGCTCTGTGTCAGTGTGTATCAGGGATCCTTAGGACAGGTGTCAATCCATATCTGCCAAGTGACCCTATGTAGGGGGACCAGTCTCTATTCTGCTCTGTGTCCGTGTGCATCAGGGGCTCTGAGGACAGGTGTCAATCCATATGTCAAGGTGTCAATATGTCATATGTCAGGTGTCAATCCATATTGATTGTGATTTAGGAATGTTAGGTGATTTCTGCCCTTTATGGATTAAAACCAGACTCTGTATCAACTGTGTAATTTTCCATGGGAGTTTTGCCATGGATCCCCCTCCGGCATGCCACAGTCCAGGTGTTAGTCCCCTTGAAACAACTTTTCCATCCCTATTGTGGCCAGAAAGAGTCCCTGTGTGTTTTAAAATTCGCCTCCCCATTGAAGTCAATGGCGTTTCGGGCGGTTCGCCGGTTCGCGAACATTTGCGGAAGTTCGCGTTCGCCGTTCGCGAACCGAAAATTTCGGGTTCGCGACATCACTACTGCTGACTTTGCAAACCCTCCCCTTCTAATCCCACCCAGACTTTCTGTGACTGTCCAATTACAGACTTCCCAAAGTAGATCAATAAGAAGTATTTGCAAGGCAGGTGCTCTGGGAAATTGCTACCTATTGAGTTTAACTTCATTGAGCTTACCAAACCAGGAAGTAACAGGACCTGTTGTCTGCTTGAAAGTCAAGGGCATGTAACCAGGTTAATGTTTATTTTATTTTTCTACAAAAAGTGCAGATTTCAAAAGACATAGGACACACTCTTCACACATAAAGCTTTTCAGGAGTGTCTAGAGTGTCCCTTTAACAAAGATTAAAAACTCATTTGAGCAAGACCCTCTTTATCTCTTGTTACTGTCAACATTATTTGTATGTTAAAGGAACACTATTGGCACCCAGACAACTTCATCTCAATGAAGTGGTGTGGGCGCCATGTGCTCCCCCTTTAACCCTGTAGTTGAAAAATTTGCTGTTCTGCCCTATCAGCAATGTTATCTTTATAGGATTACCTGCCTCTAGTGGCGCTCAGTGTGACAGTCACCAGAGGTGTTTTCATAAAATAGCAGAGTAATACTCTGCTGTTTAAATTAGATTGTCTCAGGAGACTATCTGATTGATGGTGAGTGGCTTTTGTCAACAGGGGTGGGCTGGGAATCACAGCGGCCCAGTGAGAGGGGGTGAGGCCAGAAATAGGGTGCTTTGTCATCATCAATGACAATCACGTCCCCTCTCAAAGTGAGCATGTTCCTTCAATGCACTTCCAGGGCAGACCATGTGCAAAGCTCTGATCAGTATGGCCACCCACCCCACAATGTAGTGTCACCCCCCACAGATACTGTCAACCCCCACAATTTAGTGTCACCCCCAACACACACAATCACCCCCCACAATGTAGTGTCTCCCCCACACATACTGTCAACCCCCACAGTGTAGTGTCACCCTCCTCCCACACACTGTCACACACACACACACACTGCCATTCCCCCAAACACACACTGTCATCCCCCCACACTCTGTAAACCCCAAACACAATGCTATCCCCCACACACTGTCACCACCTACACACTCTCACCCTCCCACACTCACACTGTCACCCTCCCCATACACTGTCCCCACACATACTGTCATCCCCCTTACACAGACTTATTTCCATATTCACCCCAACATTATGATACTCACCCTCCAAACCATGCAACACTCACCCTGTCACATTAACCCTTCCAATCCTGTCACACCCATCCCCCAACCATGCCGCACTCACCCTGTCACATTAACACCCCCTAATCCTGTGCGACACTGATCCAATCCAATGCTCATGCGTGGCAAGGGCTATGCACCTCCAATTCTTCTTATAGGAAAGCTTTGGATCCAATGAGCTGCAACATAACATGACCGAGTTTTACTTGTTTTTTTGCAGCTGAAGCGCCTTTTGTAAAGCGCCAGTTTGACAGCGACTAAAGGCATGTTTATCCATTCAAGCTGTTTCTACAAAATGGCAATGTTCTAGCCTGTAGTGTTAAACCTACAGAACCACAGCACCCAGGCCACTTCATGGAGATGAAGTATACTGGGTGACTTTAGTTGTTCTTGAAATTGTGGGAGCATATTATGCATGTATCCTGCCTCTGCTGTTATAAACATACTACACTATATTAGTATTCCTGTCCCATTGTGTTTTCTCCCTTATATTAGCTCCATTGGATTCCACACAAGGACTTTATTTCTTAAGCGCTGCTTCCCTACATCCCCTGCTATATTATGCATGTATATTAATATATGTAATGTGTGTTTGTGTGTGTGTGTGTGTGTGTATGTGTATATATATATATATATATGTATATATATATATATACACACTATTTCATTCAACTAGCAGCCAGTGATAGTCGGAGAATGTCAGGTTATGCTACCAGCCTATCACTGACTGCCTGGCTAAACATTCTACAAATTGTTGTTATTGTGCTTGGAATGTTCTTTGAATGAAACATGCAATGTGAACTGTGCTTTACCAGGGTAATTCACACAAGTGAGTTTTGATGGGAATTCAAAATGGATTCATAGTGAAGTTCAAATTTAAGGCCAAAATGGCCAAAATGGAAAAATTCTTCAGCTAAACTCCACCTATATTGTATGGCTTGAGGAGGGCAATGAAGGAGCAAAGTGATCGCTGACAAGCAAGGGTGCCACTAGAAAGTTCAACGAAAAAGGCAAGTGTCATAGAGTTAAAGAGAATGGCTGTGACCACTGCAGCCCTAAACCAGCCATTCTCAAATTAAAACACCAGGTCCCTTGTAGCTAAAGTGGGGGCTTTTGCAGGTTTAGGGAGATGGAAGTAGTCATCCAGATGGATGTTCTTAGCCTGCCAAGTTAATAATAAGGATGTGAGAAGGATGCCTCAGAAAATGTGCTAACTCTGCAGCCATGACTTCCCCCACGATGCCCCTAATCTTAATGTTCTGTCAGCATTATGTATACTGAAAAGTGCAAAGCATCCTCATGCAGGTTTAGAGTGTATTATAACTCCTGGACTGACTGCTCAAGTAAAGCAAGCCTTTGAGTATGGCCTCTCACTGTGTCCTCCACTGCACTAAGCCATGCTGTCAGGCCTGTGATATCCAACCAGAGCTCAGCTACATCTGCCAGTATTTTCATTGAAAATCTTGCAGTAGCCCCATTAACAGTGCAGTCGTGCTTCAGCTATGGGAGACTGTTCGGTGGTGGCTGGGCAAGGGGCATGTTTTCATCAGCATCCAAAAATAGTTCTTACGAGGAGTCAGAGTAACCAGCCATGTAGGAGGTCTCTATGGGCCTAATGACACCATGGTTCTGTCGGAAAAGGTTTTGCTTTGGATTTCTTCGTCTTTTGACCCGAAGTGATACAGATAAGGTGTGCATGCGATAAAAGCCCAGTGAAGGGTACAATAAAGCAGAGAAAAAGCTTTACAAAAATTATTTGGCTCAGTGCTTGTAAGACATGCATCCATCTGCAGCAATAGCTAAACTATGCCCTTAATATTAATAATTCTATTCTCACTTCATTAAAATGAAGTGGTCTGGGTGCTTGTAATTCATTACTGATGTTAAAGAACTAAAACATGGAAAATCTAATTCACATTCAAATTCGGTTGAAGTCAGTGACGAAAGAGTCAGGTGAAGTTGCTCAAAATTTACCCATATATATATATACACATTAGCCCATGTTTTCTTTTTTTGCAAAGAATATGCCCACTAAATCAAAGATGAAAACTAGAAATCTGAAAATGGCAAAATTTTGAGACATTATAGAGTCACATTAGAGATGTATACAGGGGGGATCTTGCTGTATTAGGGACAGGAGCAGAACACAAAGCATGGGTCTATACTGGAGCAGGTCACACATAGTCTGTTAATTTCCCCTAGAAAATAATCTGTGTGTAAGTCATCTAACAGTTAAACATAACTTTCAGATTTGACAGAGATTGGCAATTAATGAAAAAAAATGCAACTTACGTTTTATAGTTTCAGCTAAGGTTTAATACCGGTAGTATAAGCAAAACTGTGAAATAACATTTTGAATTTTTTTTCCAATGTTTTAAAAATGTTATTGATACTTAATATTGTGCTATGTATACATATTGGTCATCAGAATATTCTTTAACAAACAAAATACATAATATGTATTGGATACAAATAAAGCATTGGACTGTAGTGGAATGAACAGATAGCAAAAATTTTAATTTTGTCAACTAAAATTTTTGAGATTTAGTCAACTAAAACAATTCAGATGACTAAAATACGACTAAAACTAAAATGGCTTTTTAGTCAAAAGACTATGACTAAAACTAACTTACAATTTGCCGCCAAAATTAACACACGGGCACAGAGGGGCTGTGGAAGGGGCAAAAGAGAGAGACCTGGACTTGGAAGAAAGACACCTAGGGGGGCTTGGAGGACACAAAGAGACACAGAGGGGCTGGGGAAGAGGCAAAAGAGACAGAGGCTTTAACTAAACCCATTACATTTTAATTGTGTTGACAAAAATCTACTGGAGATTTAGTCACTAAAACTAAAACAAAATAAATTCAGATGACTAAAATACTACTAAAACTAAAATGGCTATGACAAAAATAAATTGAAATTTGTCGCCAAAATTAACACTGGTTAAAAAGCCCTCTGGCACAATCTCATGGAATCGTAGAACAGATTTGTTTATGAAGGACCAAGACTTGGAGTTAGCCAATAGTCCTGACGTGCAAATATGGCACCATTCACTGCTTAAATTAGCTTAAAATGCCACCTCTGAAATTGATCCTAACTATTTAATGATTATCTCGCCTTTTGATACAGCCTATCAGTAACCTTGGACGGAGCAGGAGATCCACTTTAAACATAAACCACTATGCCACCAAAAAAACCCTGGCAGAAAGCATGTTGGACGTGGCTCTGTTCATGGCGAATGCAACACAACTAAAAGCGGTGCTGGAACAGGGACCAGGCTTCACTTACTACATCACACTCATCACGCTCATCAGCTTGTCACTGGCTCTGCAGTTAATAATTGGTGTTCTATTAATTATCATTGGTAAGAGCTGCCTCTCAGAGTACTCATCATACATTCTAAATAACATATTAAGGAGAACCTTTAAAATAGTAATAATTTAATATCACATTGCAGAGATTTGATTTCGTAACTTGTCAGGACTAGCATGTATGCTGTGTCACCTGTTTTCAAGCAGGAATTTTAGCTATGATGCATTTGTAACCAAAATGACAATTGGCAGGTTCTAGGATAATCGGATTTGCGTGTAATATGTAGGCATATAATCCGAATCCTAAAAATCATTTTTTTTTCACCTTAAAGGGGCACCATAGTCACCAGAACAACAAGAGCGTAATGTAGCTGTTCTGGTGAGCATAATAGTTCCCTTCAGGCATTTTAATGTAAACGCTGCCTTTTCAGCGAAACAGGGTGTCAGACACCTAAAAGGTGTTTTCACAGTTATAGTGTCAGGAATACAACTTTGTATTCCTGACACTTTAGTGTTCTTTTAAGTTCTAAGAATATGTCTAGAGTTTTGACACTTTGGTCATTCACCTGATCATATAGGTTTTTACAATGGGAATCTGTCTGTTAAGGCTGAAAATCTGCCTATTCATCAAACATATCTGCATCATGAGAATCAGACCATTTATCCAGATTACTAGTTATTAGTCATTTACCCTTATCCTAGAATGTGCCCACTCACACTGAGATCGCATACGTGTTCCCTAAGCATATCATTAATCACAGAATCTGCCAAATCACATGCAGCCACGATAATCTGTCCTTTCTCTCTAAGAATCTAGCAATTTACCTTAATATTGTAAAAATCTGCCACTTTTCTTTGAAAGCATGGGTGTTACCCAACTAATCTGTAAATTCACCATATAAATAAGGGGAGGATACCGTGAAAGCCACTTAGGTTAAAATAGGCAGATTGTTTTGGCAATGATCCCTTTACACTAACCTAGGCTAGTAGCAAGTATAGAGGAAAGAGTGCATTGCCTGTCCTTTGTATGAGTGGATGATTCTAAGCTCACAGGTTATCTAGCTAAATACTTTGTATAAAAGAGCCTAAATAGCTAGACATCAGCTTACGGGCAGGGCCCTCTCTACCTTTTGTATTTGTCTGTGTACATTGTACGTCCTCCACTAATTGTACAGCGCTGCAGAATCTGTTGGCACTTTATAAATACCAGTAATAAATTAATAAATGTGATGCTATACAGTAAAGCAACATACCTATAGAAGGCAAGACTAGTCTTAGATAGGTCAAGGGACAACAGAAAGGCAACAAGACAACAGTAGGAAAAGCCAAAGTCAGGGGTACGGTAGAGGACAGCATAGAGAAGAAAATAAAAATGTAAAAAACAGAAAATCACACACAAACATATGACTCACTTACACGAACAAGAAGATTTAGTTGCCCCTGTACCAACTGCATTATTTGTTTGTGTGGGTCTTGTAGAAGGGAAGTGGTTGGTTTGTGTCTTTACACCTAATACAGGACAGTAGTTGTGCTTTGCCACGACTGCCTTATTCTAAACCTGTTCAGAGTATCATGATGCTACAAGTTCTTTGCTTGACATTCACAAAGGGACATCCCATTTGGTTATTAAAGGGACACTATATTCTATATTCTACAGAAGAACTACAGCTTAATGTAGTGGTTCTGGTGCCTAAAGCCTTTCCCTAAAGGCTTTTTAATGTAAACATTGCCTTTTCAGAGATGCATTGATTGAGCTGCACTTTGATGCATGAGGACATCCATCGTCACCGAAAACCCCATACTAAAGCATTATACGATGCTTTCCTATGGGGGAAGTACTAATGCGAGCATGATGCTCCCCCCGCTGGTTGATGTTGGCGGGGGAGGAGCTGAGGTGGAGCCTGAACCAACTCCAAGTGATATTGATGCTGGTAAGTGACAAAAAGGATTGTTTACTTTAACTTTGTTTTCCTGGCACTATTGTTTCCATTTAAGGGTGGCCACTATAGTGTCAGAAATACGTGTTTTTATTAATTTACCACTGACTTTGAATAATGAATACAGGAGGTAGATGCATGCTATAAGGGGATCTGGAAGAACTCTATATTCACAATGTCCTCCTTGGCCAACAATCTATTTTTCCAAATTTCTTGGCCATACAATTACATTTTCAGCAAATTCGTTTATATAGAATTGCTAATTTTTTGGAATGCTCTCAAAAAAGCTTTTGAAAATATAGTTTCTGTGGGGTTATTGTGTCTCAGTCCACCAGATTATTTATAAGTTCCAAGTTCTAGAAGATCATAATTAGCTAATGGTGTTCTGCTTAAAGAAAATGATTGGAATTCTCTCTGTTGACCTTTCCAGCTCGTAGAAACATAAATGACACAGAGAAACAGGAACGGCTTGACCTGCTGAACAATGTGGCCACTGGCTTAGTCTTCTTGACTGTGCTTATTAACATATTCATCACAGCGTTTGGTGTTCAAAAAAGCGGACTTTACCCATCCAGAGGGCCACGTTAAGTCCACTGAACAGGTACATGACACCATAAAGCCAAGGAGAATAAACTGGGGAAAGAGATTTATTGAGAACTTGAAAAGTTGGAGAAAGATTCTACTGTGTGGAATGTATATGAGTGTATGACTGGATCCTAGTACAATGCAGAGCCCCTATTTTTCTGAGGTGTGCATATCACATATCCCTCAGAAATGTTCATAATGTGCACATTGTATATGAAATTATTAGAGAACCTTCAGCATGTTTAAATGAACACTATAGTGTTGGGAAACATTTATTCCTAACACTACAGTTCTGGACTACGTGTTTAGATGGCCTTCCCTTCTCAGAATGGAATTAAAAGGTATTTAACATAACTTTTCTCCATCTCTGCATTGGTCTTGCTGCAGTTGGCTCTGCCTCCATGGCTGAAATCATCAATATTGGACAGATTATTGGCTCTGGACCGATTATCGGTTGTGTTGATTGTTAGAGCCGATATTCAGCATTTTACCAATAATCGGCATCGGCCTTGTAATTTACAGATTTACCGATAACTTACTCACCTCTCCCAGTAACTGCATGCCATCTTCTGCATCTGGAAACTCCAGCCACCAATCGATGAGGCACCACGTTGAGACTCTTACGTCACTCCTCCCTGTCATTCCTGAGCCGGCAGTGACATGCTATGGACACCAGAACTTCTACATTGAACCTCTATAGTGTTCCTTTCATTTTTATGAGTGCCCTTAGAGCACTTGCCAATATCTATTATTTAGGAGTATATTACAGAGCCCCTGTAAAATATAGTGAACATTGGGTTATTACGGTACCTCCAGTATTGTGCTGTTTAAATAAATATGTTACGGAGCTCCAATAATGTGCACATATATTACAGAACACCTAGCAATGTGCACAATCCAAGCTCCAACACAATGTGTAGAATGTGCAAAGATGTGATAGAGCCAATTGCAATGCACAATGTGTTTAATTGTATTACTTCCTTGATATAGTACCTCTAAACCAGATCTCCACAATAATGTGTAGGGAGGAATAATTACTGTTCTGAGTCTTAATATATATGCCTATCCAACAAAATCTCATAGTATCATGGTATTGTTCTGAATAAATGAGAAGAAAACAGACCCTACACCAATACTCTATCTCAGAACAGCATGTCAGCAGATGGGGAGAGATGAGAAGAAAGGTTAAAGGGTAATATGTAGACTTGTGCATTTTTGTAATTTGAAATGCACATTTATTGGCAGGTCAAACAAATTCCCTGACTACAAAACACTGTATGACTAAATCACTAAACAAGCGAAATTGAACAATGTACAAACTGTTTTGTTTGATTTGTGAGTTGGATTTTCATCCATGATGTTATTAGCAACTTCTTCCCACTTGATCTGTGTCACGATTCGGGGAACCCAACACGCTGGCACACACACACACACACACACACAAAAGGTGTCGTACCGGACCTTAGAGTGGCCGGGCTAAGCACACACAGAATAGTCAGGAAACAAGCCGAGTAAGGGGAACCAGAAGACAGAATAACGTGAAACGAGCCGAGGTCAAAGGGTAGGAGAAAGTCACAAAGTCAGATAAACAAGCCAGAGAGTACGTAACCAGAAGTACAAGGTAAGTAGCAATACTAGAAAGCAAAGACCACAACAGGGCAGGGAGGAACAGGAAAGGTAAGTATTTAAACCATAAGGTTAATTCTGATTGGATAATTTCCAATTAGAATTAACAATCACACGTGGGAGATATCTAGACCTCCCACTGTGATTGAGGCACTGTGCCTTTAACGCCGGGTCAGGTGACTGACCCCGGCGTGTACAAACTTGGGCGGTCTCCCAGCGTGCAGCGTCATGTATGCTGCCGCTGGGGGACGTGGAGGAAACGGCGGGCGGCATCCGAGGCTGGAAGGATGCCGCTCGCCGGACCCAGGAGGAGGAGGGGACCGCGGACGGCTGGAGGGTGAGTACCGCGAGTACCCCTCGCAGCCGCCCGCGGGATCCCGACAATCTGTGAGCCAAATGGTGTAAAAATGCACCTATCAGTGTACAGCAACATATATACATAATATTTATAATATGCACACATTTAGCAACACACTGGTTGACCAATTTTCATGCCCTTTTGATTTGACAGATTTGTTTATTCCAAATAGTTTGCATGGATGAAGTTCATCCAAGCAAAACACCCTATAAAGGAATTTTGGCCCACCTGACCTCATTTTTTTGACAGATCAATTCTGCTAAATTATAATCTGCTGATTATATTTTATTAACTTTTTGAAAAATTTAAATTTGTGAAAATTTGATGACAGTTGTCTATTAATGATTCTGTATGCATGGTAATAGCTTGCTCTCTATGTACATCTCTGGTCCCCCTCCACAAAACATTATCACTCATCTTTGTCTTTTTGTAATATTGTAAATTGTGGAATTCTCTCCACACACAAACACATAACTGTTCAATGCTTTCTCTTTTGTTTTAAAGGTTTTGCCAACACATGCCAAGGTTCGAAACCCCAGTATTCAGCTGATCTTCATCCCCAATTCATGTTTTGAGTATCTAACAGCTTGAACCCCACTGTCTATTTTATTAATAAATGTTTTAATGTAAAGGATTTTCATCCTGTCTACTTGCCAGCCCCAGCTACCACATCTCAGATTTGCTATCAAATAGAGTATCATTGGACAACATGGGATTCATCTGAAATGATGTACACAACACAAGTAAGGATATATATATCAACCATGGTGAGGCACCTTATTACCTTATTAGTACCCTGTGGATTTCCACCACTAGAAGCGTGGGTATATTTTGTGATAGAATGATTTACCAACTATAAATATAGTTTTGAGTGCTCATTGTGCGACTATGAGAATCTTCCTTTTCATCCTGAGACCCTCTAAGATTCTGACTGGATTTTTCATATGTAAATATTTTGAAATACACTTTATTTACTGTGTGAGGTGTTGCAAATTTAAATTGAATTGAAAATTAATTGCTAATTTTAGGACAAGATAGCTAGTCTGAAAATATTACTTACTATTAGTGATGTCCCGAACTGTTCGCCGAACGGTTCGCCATGGACTCCAGTCAGCAGACACATTCCAGCCAATCAGCAGCAGACCCTCCCTCCCAGACCCTCCCACCTCCTGGACAGCTCACTAAGAATGCAGCTTCAAAATGGATGCTGTCCAGGAGGTGGGAGGGTCTGGGAGGGAGGCGAACCGTTCTTGGCGAACAGTTCGGGACATCACTACTTACTATTTTTTCCAATTTGGCTACTATGACCTAAAACGTTAAATTTACTTTGAATTCACATTAAATTCCCAACAATTTATGCTTTAGTAAATTATCCGGTAAGAGTCCTTTAAGTTGTTCCCCTTGGTTGGAGAAGATTTTTTCTATTTTTAGGGCAAAACTGGAAAGAGATGTAACACATATAGGACCTTGATTGAATCTGGTGGCCCTTTTTTCTTTTTTTTTTCTCTTTACCAAGCAAACATCTTGAAGCATTCATGAAGGAGATGCAATAAGTATTAACCATTCTCAATACTTTAGTTTTTTTTTTATTTACTTGTTTTTAGAATTTAATTGTAGCATTTATTTCTTTATTTCCTTTTTCTACTTACTACAATCTGTCTTTTTTATTTTTCATTCATTGTGCGAACAATAGATCCTTTTTGCATACATAATAATCTATGGTTGGGGAAAAAAGACTCAAGTTCGTAAAGTTCAACATTTTAAAAACATCATGTTATGCTGTTGATCCAAATAAGGAAAATAAAACAATCCAACACAAAAAAAACCGCAAGAAAACCCAAAAAGCATATGTTAAGCAATGGACAATTATCCTACAAAAATAAAAACAATATCTTGTTGACTCTATTATGACAATCAGATTTCTTGTTTATTGTTCTTGTATGAACAATAAACAACATCTTTAAACATTTAAAAAAAACAAAAAAAATTTAGCCTCCTTTTTTTTTTTTTAATATGCGGGCTGGGTGGTTCGCATACACAAACTAATGGGAGGCAGAGCTGGGAGAGGTGCAAGAGAGCAAGATATTTGGGAGGCCACCAGCAAGGTGTCCATTAGTGTGGGACGTGAAGAACAGGCATTGAAGACAATGATATATATACTACCCTGACCAAATGTACAAAATGGGCAAGGGTTCGTCTGTATTGGAGGGGTTGTGGTGAGAAGGGTACCTAGGCCTACATGTGGTGGGATTGTTTGAAATTACAGCCACTCTGGCACGGGGGGTTAAAGATCTTCTGACAAGGGTGTTGGAGAGGCCAATTGAGCTCGTGTTCATGGGCTTTTTTTCTAGCCAGACCGGTAAACGGCATGATGGCCACAACCCAGAAACTCATGAATTGGATCACACTGGTAGCCAGACAGAGGGCAGTGATAAAATGATTAGGCACAGTCACACCTAGTATGCCAGAGGTGCACAGAGGATTAAAGAGAATTATCTAATGGACAAACTCACTGTGATATTGCACAACTGCACACTATCCTTAGGTATGTGATCCTTGGAACAACATAGGGGACTAGGAGGAGAATAATTATGGAGGGTTGATGACTGTCTTGGGGCGGACCATTGGCACCTGGCTGGAACGAGGGTTCCTTGGTAGTTGTATTATTGGCAATGGCAATTGAAGTGAACAAACTAGAGCAACTGATGCTGTTAAAACATTTGTATGTGTTCTTCTATACATTTCTTTAGTTAGTTTTTAAGAAAAAACTAAATAGGCACAAAGTCACTACAAACTGTAAATAGGAAATCTGTTTATGCTTTTGTACACTTTTGTATGGCAAATAACATTGTACTTAAGTGTTTTTCCTGTATCCATGTACAAAAAAAATTCAAATAATTCAAATAAATAAATGTATATATGTATGTAATATAGCACAAAACAATCCTTAAATGTGCACTCCAGGGTACAGCTTCATTTACCTGGTGCTCATCAGCATAACATGTAAAATTGTGATGAAAGCACTCCTACATATTGATTAAAAATAAAACCACTTTTAATCCAATATTATCCATAAAAAAGGTTGACGTTTTCGGTTTCTATATGAAACTTTCATCATGACAAACATGCCTACATGAGCAGGACTGGGTTAGGTTCAGTTTAACATTGAACCACATTGCGGGATTTATACACAATTACTTAGATTATGAAGTGTGGCTGAAGACTGGCATAGGGCTGGTTTTTATCAGTTAACTCCCTTGTTTGTTTCCAACTTTAAGCGTCTCCTTTTACAGAGTAGAGTTGTTTTTAATTTATTTTTTTATATATACATCTGACATAATTTCCCTCCTGAGAGATCAAGACCTCCATTTTTTGCCCCCTCGATCCTTCTCTGTGATTCTGCATTTGCTGGAGCCTATCCTCTCTCCTCTGTTCTCATTCTCTGCGCAAGGACCCCATGGATGTGTTCGCGTTCCCTCTGTCAAGGTCCAGCGCTAGGACCCCATGGATGTGTTCGTGTTCCCTCCGTTAAGGTCCAGCACAGGGAAAAATCTAAACTCTCTGGGCATGTGAAAAAATGCTTAAACTATTAGAGACATTCCCCCTATGTGTTTTCCTAGGGAATTTAAACTTACAAAATAGTGATCTTCTGTGTAGTCCTGTGTGCATCCTATCTTGCACTGTAGTTGCCATAGTTAAATCAGTCCTTTTGCTAAGTTTAATTTATATCCTTTTGTTCCTTCTATTAGTTACATATATATTTATTAACTGGATACCTATGCCATTTTTTTTCTCTTCATAGAGAATGAATTCCGCCTCCAGACACTGAATCTAGAGAGACAATGAACACAAAGAAAAGCATTATGGCCAAAACATATTAATGTATGGCTTCGTGTCATTGCAGCTTTAGTAAAGGCCGAGGTAAATAACACAGAAAGCACAGGGAGAAATCTAACCACTGCATGGGATGCAATTAGGTAGATCGAGAAGGAAAAAAATCTGTGTATAAACTGCCTGTCTGAGTTAGCTGAAGAACACACTAGAAAATGTTGTCCCAAGAAGAATTCAAATCTTGGATTATCCAAGCCATTGCAGAAGACTTTAAAGTTACAGCCCAATTTCCCATCCAAGTGTCAAATGGTAGATACTTATTCATCAGATGCAGATTATGGAATTTTAGAAGAAGATGAATCAGAATATTATCCTAAAAACCTGGAATCAAAATCTGTTAATAAGCTGTTTTTTCTTATTAGAGATACCTTACACATACCGAGGGAAAAGTCTGAAAAGTCCTCTCTGTGCCTCTTTCCCCGTGGCCCCTATGTGCGTTTTTCTCTTTTACAACCCCTTTTGTGAGTCTTCCTTTGCCAGGCACTTTTTTTGTGAGTATTTAACCCCTTAAGGACCAAACTTCTGGAATAAAAGGGAATCATGACATGTCACACGTCATTTGTCCTTAAGGGGTTAAACCCTTCCCCTCCCCCCCAACCACACAAGGGTGTCTTTTCTCTCTATTTCTCTGTGAGTCTCTTTTGCACATGACACTTTTGTGTGTCTCATTCACTCCCCCATCGATTTCTGGTCTCTTCCATTCCCCCCTCTCCCCTACTGATGTGGCTCCTTACCTCCTGTAGTGTGGTTTGCCTGATATTTTTTCACCAGTCAAAACAGAGAATGTTGGCTCAATGCTTATCCAGGGCAGCCCATGCACAAAGCCCCTCTCGCATGAGAAAAAGGCCCTGTATTTGTTCAGCGCAGCACAAGCAAATTTGACACACCTGCGCTGAGTTTGCTTTTGACTTGTTTCTGGTGACTCCATAAGTTGGATACTAGAGGACAAAAGGGCCAGGAAATCATATTGTGCATGTGTATGGGGCTACATGTGACATTGTGTGTGTAGAGTAAGCTGATTGTGGTGTTTTGTGTAAATAGATCAACTTCAGTTCTGTTGTGTTCGTGGTGTAAAATGTGTAGCTAGGGGTTTTATAGAGTGAAAAAGTGTGTGTGTATGCATGTGTGTGTGTGTGGGGGGGGCATAATGTGTATAGGGGATGTAGTGCATGTGAGTATGGATGATGTAGTGTGTGTAGAGGCTGTAGAGAGGGTGTTTTTAGGGAATATAGGATGTGTGTTTGCGTACAGGGGATCTAGTGTGTGCATAGGAGATAGAGAATGTGTACATGGAATGTAGTGTATGTTTGTGTCTAACCCAGGGGGCTCCGTTCGTGCATTTATTCGTTTCTATGACTTTTCTAAATAGACCGACCGCACAGCCTAAACTCATGGAACTGTTTCTGGGCAGGAGCCTCGTGTGCGGTCGGTCAAATGGGACTTTCGAAAACCCCTGAACTGATCTGGGTTATTTTTGGATATGTTCGTCACCCAGATCAGGGCTATCAGGGAATGTGACTTTTATGGGGCTATTATGTGTTTTAGGGTACTTTCCATGGTTTGGGGAAAATATGTTTTTACTGCCTGGAGATAATGGAGTTATTAAGTTAGCTGACTCAATTTTCTCACAGGCAGAGAGGAGGGGATTGTCTGTTTGCATTGGGAGTGTTCATCTTTGTCAATGTAATATTATTGGCTGGAACCTTTGTGTCCCTGTCCCCCACAAGATCCATGTGGGAGTGCCCCTTGCATGGGGACTTGCATAAAAGCCAATGTGGCACCATTAAAATTCATTCTTGTTGTACCCTTCATGAAGTCTAGGCTCATGTTTGGGTTATTGTCTACTTGCTGGGGAGAAACTACGTGGAAGCTGCCTTTGTCTGAAACTTTTCGTATCTACACCCGAACTGCAGCTATAATCACTCAGGCTCAGCAGTTCGGGAGGAATAGGCGAACAGGGATTCTATACCAGTGTTCATGACAACAATCCTTCTACAATTTTTTTTAGCACCGATTGCTTAAAGGGACACTCCAGTGCCAGGAAAACAAACTGTTTTCCTGGCACTGCAGGTCACCTCTCCCTCCCATCCCTCATCTCAGGTTGCAGAAGGGGTTAAAACCCCTTCATGGACTTACCAGAGTCCAGCGCCGATGTCCCTCGGCGCTGGTCCAGGGTCCACCCACGCTCCACTGATTGGCCGCCAGCGGGGTGAGACCTAAATGCTTTCAATGCTTCCATACAGGGCCGCCATCAGGGGGTGACAACCATAACAGTTGTCACGGGTCCGGCCGCCTGGGCCCCACGTGTAGCGCCGGAACTGCCGCCGGTGCAGTTGCATGCCCTATATCTTCAGGGGCCTGGTCAGCGCTGTGGCCGTGGTTTAAAAAAAACAAGAAAACAACAACCTCAGCCGCAGCAAGTGCTGCTGGGAGGAAGTGGTCACTTTCTCCCAGCTCACTCTGCGCGGGAGGAGCGCACGCCCGGCAGTGAGGGAGAGCCGTGCCAACTCCCAGTCCCATCAGCCCCAGCCACCCTGCTGCAACGAAAAGGTAAGAAAAAGGAGGGTGGCTGGAAAATGAGCTCTGTATGTTATGTATTTATTATATATGAATGTATGTATGTCTGTATGTTTGTCAGTATTTATGTATGTATTTCTGTAACGGACCGTTTTGCACACAGATGCTTTTCAGATGCACAAACAGCCACTGCAATCACCAATCTCCTGAACTGCAAACACACGAATTCACCAATCTCCAGAACTGCAAACACATGAATTCACCAGTCTCCCGAACTGCAAACACATGAAAACTCCAACTCCCGAACTGCAAACACATGAAAACTTCAACTCCCGAACAGGAAATACACGAATGCTGTAAACAGCCGTACAGGAAAAACCATATGAACAGTTTACACTCCTGGCAGTCGCACTGTAACAGCATACAATCCAATTCCCCCCAAGAACAAGATGACACTTTGTTTGAGGGTCAAGCAGAACTGATTTACTGGGGCTACCTGTCTGGCTTTTATGCAGGTCTCCCACCTGGTGGACACTCCCCTAGGGGACCAGACGGAAGACTGGGAAACATATTGGACATTGACCAATCACAAGCTTACAATCCCACAATGCATCACAATCCCTCCTCTCTGTCCTGGAGATAATTGGGAAGTAATCCAATTATCTCCAAGGACAGAGACAAAACTCAATTAACCACATGGCAGACAAAGGACAATAAAAGACATAAAAATACATACTGTTACATTTATCACATAGAACATACACATTCTACCTATCCCTAGATAGCTTAGATCTGAGTGCACATCATTACCGGATGGTGCTCAGATCACATACATACAGTTCAATTGCCATGGAGCCAAAGTCTTTCATACAGTCTTTCAGTATACGGCTGGGCTCCATAGCATAGCTATCTGAGGTAGCATGGTTTAAACAGTAAAGTACTGAATGGGCCAGTGTTCGGATAATTGACTACAGGTAGGAGAAGGGAGGTCGGCGGCTCAGCAGTGTTCGTGACTTTAACAGTCTGCAGAAAGGCACGAACCAGCCTTTCTGCAGGGAAAAAGAACAGTGTTAAACATGGGGCCATAGTTCAGTGGCACGAGGTGGGCGACCAGGCTCCTCCAGTGGCCAGTAGCGAGGTTGGTTCCGCCACAATGTCCGTATGTCTGTCAGTATGAATGCATGTATGTATGTATGTATGTATGTCTGTATGTATGTTATTATGTATGTCAGTATGTCTGTATGCATGTATGTCTGTATGCATGTATGTCTGTCAGTATGTATGTATATATGTCTGTATGCAAGTATCAATGTATGTCATTATGTATGTCTGTATGCATGTATATATGTCTGTATGTATGTATGCAAGTATCAATGTATGTCTGTATGTCATTATGTATGTATATATGTCTTTATGTATATATGTATGTATGTCAGTATTAATGTATGTCTGCATGTCATTATGAACGTATGTCTGTGTGTATGGATGTCTGTATGCATGTATGGCAGTATGTATGTATGTCTGTATATATGCATGTATGTCAGTATGAATGTATGTCTGTATGCCATTATGAATGTATGTGTGTATGGATGTCAGGGTCTGTATGGCTGTCAGTCAGTATGTCTGTATATGTATGTATGTCTGTAGGTCATTATGAATGTATGTGTGTATGAATGTCGGTGTCTGTATGTATGTCAGTGTGTATGTATGTATGTGTCTGTATGTCCTCATGCATGTGTGTCTGTATGTATGTTAGTATGTGTCTGTCTGTCACTATGTATGCCTGTGTGTCTGTATATGTGTGTATGTCTCAGCATGTGTGTGTCTGTATGTATGCCTATATGCATGTATGTCTGTTAGTATGTATCTGTGTGTGTGTAACTGTGTCCTTTTGTATCAGTGTGTGTGTTTGTGTCTTTGTGTGTATTCCTGTGGGCGGGATTTGGAGGCTGACCCTGTGGGCGGGATTGGAGGCGGGCCCCAGGGGGCCCAGACCCTGAGCTGAGTTAGGGGCCCCAAAATGTCTGGTGGCGGCCCTGCTTCCATATGGGGATTTTAGCAACACTGGAGTTCCTCACATAGCGTGAGGACGTCCAGCGACGCTATAGCACAGAAAATCTGTGCTATAAACCAGAAAGTGCCCTCTAGTGGCTGTCAAGTAGACAGCCACTAGAGGAGGAGTTAACCCTGCAAGGTAAATATTGCAGTTTATGAAAACTGCAATATTTACAATTGCAGGGTTAAGGGTAGTGGGAGTTGGCACCCAGAGCACTCCAATGGGCAGAAGTGGTCTGGGTGCCTGGAGTGTCCCTTTAACAAGACTAGATACACTGTTACACTCTGCTCCCCCTCTTACTTGTTATAACTCTACCATTGCTATCTTATTTATTATATAGGATGCTGATTCAGATTATATTTAGGAGCTTTATATTCTGATTGTATCTAAATTTTATTAAAATGTGCTGGGATTTTTTCTTTTTTTTTTGTTAATTAGCATTTTTGGGGTTAGTCCCCCCTCTCATTTTTCCAGCACAGCACACAATACACAAGCTCCTTTTGTTTTACAGTTAAATCATATATTTATAAAATAAAGCTATTTAAAACTGCTACAGTAATCATTATCAATCTCCGGATCTGGAATCTGTAACATATCCTGATTTTGGGCTCTGTATCTGCCCCATCAGCACGAAAGAGAGTATACCACCTGGATGAATGACAGTCCAGGAAAGCTGCACTCTCTTGGTACTAAATGTCCTTTGTATACACCTCAAAATGGGCTAAGCTGAAAGCTAAACCAGGGGCCTACCACACACTGGCGTTTCCCTGCGTCCCATATCGAGTGGGTGATTTGTGCAAATGTGTCCGGGGTCAAATGTGTAAGACCTAAAACCTTACACAAGTGCGGGCGCTTCAGCCCCTGAAGTGAGTTTATGTACAGTTCCATTGTGCGTGATAATTAAGAATCTTGGCTTCCTCTATCTGTAGGCCACCCCTGTGGAGCGTAGGCAAATTGTAAGTGTATTTACTGATTTGCACCACTGGAAAGTGGCTCTATCCTGCCTACTTCTGCCAGTGTGTAAGACACCTACCATTAGTGCGCTATCACCTTATTTTTCATCAAGATTCTATGTATGTATAAGTGTTTTTTTTTTGACATAACACTTCGGTGAATTTGTGCTGCACTGGTTATTGAGTATTATTGTGGCGCCATTTATCTTCAAACCTTTTTTTTTAAATGTTTTAGTATGTTCAAGTCTGCTGCCAGGAACTTTTGGATGTCTTGTGAGAGGTTTTTAAAGTCCTGCTTAGTTGCAAGGGCAGAGCCCCCTAGAGTGTCCATGGTAATGACTTGGATAACAGGAAGTGCGGCCTGCTTTGTTTTAGTGGTCTGAGTGAGGGGTTGCTGTAGTAGCTGGGATTTCCTTCTTAGCTGGAGTATGTCATTGGAGTAAAAATATCTCTTTGGTCCAAGCTGAGGTTTCAGTGAATGGTGCCCTATGGTAAGTGCACAGTCAGTACCAAGCAGCCCCTGTGAAGGAGTTTTTCAAGACAGGGAAACGCAAGCATCCAGTAGGCCCCTGGTCTGTGTTGCAGCTGAGCCAGTTTCGGGGTGTACACAAAGGGAATTTAGTGATGCAGCAAGAGTACCCTGATCAGAAGCTGTTAGTTTGGAAGCTGGATGGCGTTTGTATGAGATTTGTCATTAGACTGCGCTGATAACACAAGATCTGCCAGAAATGGTGTCTGGTCAGTCTCGCCGTCAACCTCTGCTCCCTCTATTGCTCTAATCTTCGACTGTAATGATTATCCATTGTATTCATATTTTAATGTGCATAGCTTTTTACGAAAACCACATAAAAATCAAATATTGAAGAAAAAAAAGGGGGAGCAGTGAAACAAGAGGTAGAAATAAGAAGGAAGTCCAAGAAAAAGCAAAATGGAATGAAATGGAAGAAGGGAATCGGAAAATGAAGAGACCAGGCAAACCGGGATCAGCAAGACATCTGAGCAGGGAAACATCAAGGCATAGTAAGTGGAGACAAAAGCATCATAAAAAATAGATTAGTTTATTCACATGTTAAATATTTGTTAGGCAGGAGGGATACTTTCCAATGGCTGTGGGTGCCTGAATACATTATACCTATACATTAAATATTATATCCCGTGTACCAAGTCCTTGTGAGTCTGCACTTTCAATCATCAGTTACCAACTTTTGTCCTCACCAGGCCCAAACTACATGGTGCTTTACTTTATCACCATACGATGAAGGCACTCATCTCTGCAGTAAATTTATGCTTCACTTGTAACAAAAATCTCTTTTTATTGAGATATTATCTCTATATTGAAGACATGTCTTTTGTAACATTAGCTCAATTGTATGGTGTTATTTAAATATAATAAACAACGCAAAAAGTAAATCCAACACATTACTTCATATCATATCATCTCATATTCCACTTCATAGTGGAACAACTGCTGTAAGATTCCAAAGTTGCTGTTGCGGTAATAAAAAGAATATTCACAATAATGGCAGAGTAGCCACAGTATCAGTAATAGTCCTTCTTCTTCTGTAGGTGCAGCATATCGGTCCATAAAAAAGTGCAAACACATGACACTAGGAGGCTTATTCATTAAAAAGTCAGTTGTAGTGCATTCACAACCAACATAAGGCTGGAATAGTCAAACTGGGATAAATGTTGTGTTTCAAATGAAAAGTATTTTATTTCTTTCCCAAAAGGGTAGTTTTGGGCATAGTTTCATTTGTTTAGTGTAAACTCAGTGTTACCCCTATTTCCCCCGGACAAGTGTACTTAAGTATTTGGTCCTTAGAAGCAGGCTTGAGGTATCTTCTTCACGGAATCACTTCTACTCTCCCTCCCCTCTATCCTTTACACTGATACTCATGATCAGTCTAGCACCCTGACATGCAGCTCAGGGTGCTAGACTGTATGCACTAGACATACAGAATCAGAATAGTTTCCATACGAACATGTGCCCAGGAACCCTTCATATAACATTGCTCAGATAAAGTCTCATCCACAGAGCAGGTCAGGATGGGATTTCCAGACACAAGTTCCAAATGTCTGTAAAAAAAGCTTTTGAAAAGCCACCACAATAGCCACATTGTGCACATCCAACATTTATACTAGTTACATCTTTTATAAAAAGCCTGTGAATATTTTACTCCACTATACTTATAAATATTCTAGAATAATTATAGTTATAAATAATGATAAAACTTTAGAGTCTAGTTTCCAAGCTGTGCCTAGACTTGGAATAGTTTTACAGTGACACCTAGTGCAGTAGAACTAGCTACATTGTAGACTTAAATGGTAGATTTACATTTCTGGTCATTGTCTGCTTCATGACATCATTAAAAGGTATGGATGGGCTTCTGGATGACTCCACTTCCATCCAACTCTACTTAAGACCTCTGCCCTCATCTTTTCGTCAGATGTTTATGAGTTATTTCATATATGAACAGTGATCTCACTCCATACGACATCTCTATTGTAATTAAATCCAAGCATTATCGTCCACTTGGAGCTTGACGTCGGTTCCACATACCACGCTTGGAATGGTAGTGGTGGTAGAAGTTTCTTACAGCAACTCTCTCCACTTCAAGTCCAGCTTGAACTATCCTGAAAGAGGAGAACAACATTTTTTGAATCCCAGATAACTGCTCCTCATATCAAAATCATTGCTTTTGAGTCTGTTACTAAAATGTGAAAATTGCAAAATCTGACACTTCTCTATTTGACTTGCCTGTATCACATTTCCTATAATAATGCTTTCTTACCTGTCCAGTAACTCCCAATCTTCTCCTCCCCAACGATCTCGGAATTCCTCTGTGTTCATCCCTCCGATATTATCCAAGTCTGACTTGTAGATTCCAAGCAGCCCAAACCCATTAACTTCCCAATAGCCTGCATTATAGAGATCATAATAATGCACACAAATGTGAAATGCATAAAAAATGTATACAATAAGAAGTAATCTAGCATGACACTGAGGCCAATAATAAGACACAGATAACATTTAGTCAACATAGACTTTGGCTAAAGAAATCCTAATTATTTGTAGGCCACCACTGATATATATTGCAGGATACCACCTATGCTCAAAAGCACAGATAGGCACACACACTTGATCAGGGTTTTAATTTCTAGCCAGGGTTATTCTTCCACTCTACGCGATGCTGTGTGACATTCCAGTAACAATTTTAACGCAGGATGCTTAGTCCAACGTTACAAAAGTGACGCAGTACACCATTCTCGTGTCAAAATGACACGAGTTATACTTAACCAGTTCAGTGTTGCAATAAAAATGGCAAAGTGTCATTCTGGAGTCGACCTTCTATAATGGTCTGGCCTCATTTTGAAGACATCAGACACTAAGGCTACAAAACCTTGGTCTACCAGGAGGTCAATGCCCTGATGTGGTCTTTGGTAGCATGAGAGTGCATTTTGATAGTTCTCTGATTTTCTGGATATTGACTTGACTTTTATTTTGACTTTCCTGATCTGTCCAATTCTGACCACAGCATCCATGATGCTTGGTCATTCTAAAGGCATGACGGAAGTTGTAGTTCTACAACATCTGGGGAACTACCTTTTGGGCACCCTTGGTCTACCAGATTTGTCGCTATTTTATACTCCTTTAACCTCAGCATGTTCCTCAACAATTCTGGTTCTCTGTAATATGTACTGTCCTGTAGTTGTGTGCTGGGATTCTGCACCTTCCTGGCACACACATATCTATATTCACTAATATAGTTTAATGTGAATTTACAAGTCACACATTTTGTGTTTCATACTAAATGGAGTTGTCAACCTTTCCCAAAAATAATAGCAGACATTTTTTCTGATATCATTAGCACTGATTTTACCTGTCTGGTGGAAAAACACAGGTCTGTCAAGTGGTGCCAAATGATGCTTTAGAAGAGACCCGATTCAATCTGCCCCCATGTCTTAATGATGCTAATATCAATTATCCATGAACCAGAGGAAGGCATTGTTAGCTCTTCACTTCTCTTGGACTCCAACTCCCAACATCATGTAGCTAGGTATTTGTATTCCAATTGTAAATACACTGACTGGTTTTCGGACCTCCCCCACCCCCCCGAACCCTCCCAATACAGTAAAACTTCAAATTTTAGAGTTGCCTTTTATTGTGGCAAGCCTAAGGCACGCCTGTGCAATAATAATGCTGTCTAATCAGCATCTTGATATGCCACATCTGTGAGGTGGATGGATTATCTCGGCAAATGAGAAGTGCTCACTAACACAGATGTAGACAGATTTGTGAACAATATTTGAGAGAAATAGGCCTTTTGTGTACATAGAAAAAGTCTTAGATCTTTGAGTTCAGCTCATGAAAAATGGGGGCAAAAACAAAAGTGTTGCGTTAATAATTTTGTTCAGTGTATTGACACAAACTGTCCTCTACTCTTACATTTGATCTATGATACATAGACAATCATCAAATACTATGTCTTCTCACCTTCTGGCCAGCATGGAGAGGCTCCACAATTTAGTCTCATTACCATGGGAGCAAAAACCATCTTGCCCTCCACTGTATGCATGCGCACAGAGTCAATGATAGATGAAGGAAACTGCATATGAAGATCACACAGGAAAAGGATGCTGTGTGGGTTCTAGAAGAAAGAACAAGGCAGTGATTAGGTGTGGGGTGTTTGTCATATAGCTAGTCATTGGGTTCACAATCACATTGCTCAATATTCCCGTTTTGTAATTTCTAAAGTGAGAATTCAGAGAGAATTTAAAGTGAATTTTAAATCTAACATCAAAACAGCCGCACAGGAATATATAGTCAGATATGCTTTCCGTTTAGCTAATCTGGTCATACATTTGAAATTCACTTTGAATTTTTTCAACTTATTTTAAGTCCTGAATGAGGATGCAACTTAGGAAAACTCTGACGTCCAGTTCATTTAATGCTTCCTGCCTGAGAATGTTCAGCGGCACTTAGAGAAGGTCAGCAAAATAGTACATTAAGTAGAAGCTCACATTAGAGTTCAAATCTGATGATGAACTGACCAGAATTTGAGCTGGTGAGAGCTAAAGCTATAGATTTAATCTTCTAAACATGATTTGTAGTGAGAGGATGACATACTTAGATATTTTTGTTTTTCCAATACTGTTTTTATTGTGAATGTCAGGTGGAAATAATATGCATATACAATATATCATAC